TCTATGTTTTTGTGAATTTGGAATTCATTACTTAAGGTAAATTTCCTTGCACATTTCTGATGATAGATCCAGTTAAGGGTGCTGTTTACATTTTTGCAGATCTAAAATTCTTTACTCTGGGTACATTTTATCGTTTATTTCAATGCACGTTCAGAGCACTCTGCAACACCATACAAATTGAGCTACCTCGCATACTGAAAAGCTGTCCATATGGAGATAAACAGGTTAGGCGAACATATGTTATTACAAATCATCGACAGAGTTAGGTTGTTCTGCAGTGTTTATATGGTGTTGCGCAAATAACTACACACAAATAATGTTATTTGTTAATAATGTCCTTGTAGCAATCATTTGTGTGAAAAGGACAAAAAAGTGTTGTTGACGCACATTTTACCTACAAACATCAGCCAAATGTAGGTATAAGAACGTTTTTGCGGTTTCACGAAAGTATAAGCTGAAGCACATATTTCCAATGAGTCTGTGTTGAAGTAACATGTTTAAAGTGTCTTGTAACAACCTAACGATCATTACATGACAATTATGTTAATCTTCAATAAAGCTTTTTTTGCGTTTTCATGTCGGAGTTCACAATTGAAACACAATTGGAAGACAGTTGCATGAGGATTTAAAGGAATAGTTTGCTCTATAATACATATTCTGTCATTATTTACTAATTAAATGATTGCTGTTGTTTTCAGTGAAACACAAAATGTTTTTAATTTTGTAAATTTTAGCTCTAGATTCTAGAAGTTTAATATCACAATGTATGACAAAGATAACATGATTGCTAATTATAATAATGACAGAATGCATTCTGGGGTAAAGTGTTGCTTTAGTAAAAAAGCAGGTTATGTGAATGCATGTTTTTTTTCTCTCTCTCTCAAAAAAAGTTAAACTTTTTGTCAGTTGTCTAAACAGCATGTCTACACAGTGTTTGTATGCACTAATTTATATCAGAACACACAGTTACGTGTGTTATGGCAATCTTTGTTGCCACTACATAAAATAAGTTGAAATTTATAATTATGAAATCATTTTGTTTATGAAAAGTGTCATGTTTGTACTGTATATAGAAGCACAGCTGGGAAGTCTATTCAGTTTTTTTTTTTTTCTGGACACTACATGATGATATCAAAAGTGCTAAAGGGTCAATGACGTTTATTTTCTTTCCCTTTTTTTTTGTTTTGTTTACTGTTGTTGACGTATGGTTAGATATTGCATTCATACAATATCTAACTGTGACATAAAAGGCACTGCTGCATTCATTTGTAAAAATTACAAGGTTGTAAAATTAAAAATAAAATTCAATAGGACAGTACTAAAATGTAATATTGTAAAAAAAAACAATAACGGGGTGTCCGCGTGGTCTTAAAAACTATTAAAAATTGATGAATCAATGTAGACAAATGTAAGGCCCTTAAAAGAGTATTAAAAAGTCTTAAATGTTATTTTGCAAGGTATTAAAGGTATTAAATCAATGAAATCCTACTAGATTTTAACATCATGCTGCTTTGTTTACTGCATTAACCAAGAAAACACCTTTATTTTTGCAGTTCTATAGGCGCCAACCTGCTGAATTAGCTATAATAGAATTTTATTCAATATATGAATAATGATTTAGTTTTGGATTCTTACATTGATATTTAGTAAATATACTGTAAGATAAAATCTCGCCAGTGTTTCTGGTTAAAACCTAAAGTGCTTTTACGGTCTTTGAAATGTAATGGAAGAGTCTTAAAAAAGGCCTTAAAATGTATTGAATTTCACTCTTTGATTCCTGTATATAATCTGAATAATGTTTTTTTGCTAGTGCCTGAAGCAATTCGGTTACGTAATAAATGTATTTAATCAATGGATTATTATTATTTATTATTATTATCTGTTTTATTACACATTTTATTGTTATTTAATTTGTTATTACTATTATTCTCTTTTTTTCTTTTTTTTCACAATGTCAGAATGAATTGCCCTTCGGGGATTAATAAAGTTTTAAACTAAAACATTAAAATAAAGATACTTTAAATTCTTGAGTTCTTTAAAGCAGGATGGATTCTTACTGAATGATATTTTTTCATTCATTAGCTAAAATAAAATATTTCTAAAAATATAGATATTAAAATTAAGATATTAAAATATTAATTTTAAAATTGTAATTTTTTGTCATCCTTAGAGTTATTTATGTTCTTTTTTTATCATACAAGACATTCTTATTTGTCATTGACCCTTAAGCTATTTATAATTTTACCCCTTGCTTTCAAACCTAAATTAACTGGTGTTGTTTGGTTTTGCAGGAGGGCAGGTCAAATTTGGACGATTATGGAAAGGAGAGCGGTGGCCGCCCTTCTCATGATGCCAATGTACTTGACCTGGGCGCTGGCCAGAGTGGTGGACCGGGTCTTTATAAGGTAGTGAAGACCGGACCTTCGGGTCACAACATCAGAAGCTGCCCAAACCTTAGAGGTATCCCCATTGGAATGTTAGTTCTGGGGAACAAAGTCAAGGCGGTAGGCGAGGTATGAACTCCCAACTGTGTCACTGTGGCTGCCAATAAATGACTAATTAGCCAGATTTCTTGCTAGTTCTGCTGTCTCTGTAACACAGATTCTTAATTTGTTTCTTTAGACTATTAGAGAACCCTTTGTGTAACTTCTTTTGATAGAAGCCAAACATGCCATGGCTCTGGTGTGGGTTTGTGTTCATTCTGTGCACATTATTAAAGCTCCTTTTAAGAACCACCAAGCATGGCTTCAGCTTTTACACAGTAACAAATATAACCTGGCATGCTCTACAGGAACATCTTTGTGATCCGACAATTAAAATATGATCTTAATTAACCTATTTACAGTGATGAAACGAAGCTTGCGAGTTGCTAAAAAACTGAAGTCATCTCATAGCTTCCACTCTGTACGCACCAGGATTGAGCAAAATTCAGAAGATTTGGTTCCCTTTTGATTTGGTAATGTGAATTGAATTGAATTAGCTGTGATTCATGTGAGTGGGAACTGGAATGATGGGAAGAGGAGTTAAGAAATTCAGGCCAAAGAAACTGAAAGAAACGGGTCATGTACATCCTTATTAAAGGTTTTACAAAATTGTGATAAATATATTATACTAATTGTTGTAGTGCTAGTAGTAAAACAGAATTTTTAAGAAATAATTATAGGGTTACTTTAATGTTTTTATTTTAAGAGGAAGAAAACAGAATGATTAGATTTCCTGAAAGTTTTTTTTTTATGATTTCAAAGGATTCGGTATGCTTTTTAATTTTTACAGTTTATTTTAAGGGGTGGTCTCATGCTTATTTTTTCATATATCTTACTTTGGTTATATACAGCTACTCGGCTAACATAAAAACGTCATATTTCCTAGTTTCTCTGAAAGGCCTGTCCTCAAGAGACTCTGATTGGTCAGCTAACATAATGTGCTGTGATTCGCGGATTGACTCCGTCATCACGTCACTCCCCTACAAGCAGGCGCTTTTTCGCTTTGTAAACAGTCCAGTTAGAGCAGCTGTTAACTGCCTGAATCAGACAGAAAAATTAAAGGGACACAGCTAAACCTCACATCTGCTCTCTAAAGTAAAAGCTGAAATGTTGCTTTCACATATATTCTAAATAAGCATGTGTAAGTAATATGAAACGTTCTCACATATTTTGCGAGTTTGTTATTTGAGATAAAGAACGCATGGAAAGCAGCCACATAGAGAGATACTAGAGCGCTGGTGAAGATTGTGGCTGTTTACATTGGTTTGGCAGATAAATATGAATTTGTAGCTTAGTTGTTAGCGGTGCTAAACAGCATTTCCTGTTGTTTACATCCTTATTCTCGTCCTTGCTATAACATACCGTTAACGCTAGAAATTGTGCCTGTAATTGATCAATTTTAACAAATAAAAATACTTACTGGTTGTGTCTCCCATTCAACAGCATCGTCCGTTGGAGGAGTTTTAATCTAATCGAGAACTATACTGGGAGATATTGTGGAAGTTCTCCTTGGTCAAATGCTATCTATATTTTTTTATAATTCTCTGGAACATAATTAAAATTAAACTGTAAGCACTTCTTTCTTTCTGTCGTGTCCTTTGGAAGCCCGATTACAGAAACAGAACAAGCTCTGTAGAAATAGCAGCGTTTGGACGGCATTTTAGCTTTCTCTGCTTTAACATTACAACACCTCTGGCTTTGCATTGAATTTTGAGCATATTACATTCGGAGATGTTGTTTATGTTCAAACAGCAACATTACACATCAAATAAAGTTTAAAATTTGATATCATGGTCGACCACCCCTGTAACTATTTAAATAATAATTGTTTAAATATATAAATCATTATATTTGACTATATTGCTTTATTATATTATATTATATTAAATTATATTATATTATATTATATTATATTATATTATATTATATTATATTATATTATATTATATTATATTATATATGTTTTGAATAGCCAATTTTTATTTGTCAAATTCATATTCTGCAAGTTATTTTTCTAACTACCTTAACAAATGTTCTTTTATTTCATTGCATTCCTGCTTCCTTGAATTCAACTTACAGTTCCGCGTCACGTTTGCAGCCTCAATTGAAATTCACGAATTGAATTGGAACTCTGAATAACGCATAATCCTGGTAAACACCTGTCTTTTGAATAGTCCCCATGTCTGATCATGGAAGGGCTGAACTTTGCCTCTTTCTTCTCTCGGTAGGTGTGGTGTGTCATGCTGTCCTAAAATGCTCTCTTAAAGTCGTTGCCTTTCTGAGTCTCCTAACAATCACTGCTATTCTGCTCATGAAATGTAAAAGTGTCTTTGTTGAGCTGGTTTCAGTTCATAAATCTTACCAACCGACTGGTGCATCGTATATTTGTGTTTCATGTTTCTTAAAGGCACTTTGTTATTTTAGAACAGCAAACAGCTGAGTATTGCTCCTCAGGATTGATGTTGGTGTCAGGTGTTTACTTGAGAGAGGGGGTAAATAAAGCTGTGTCTGTATCAGGTGATAAACTCGGAGGGCACCTGGGTGCAGCTGGATAAGAACAGTGTGGTGGAGTTCTGTGAAAGTGATGAAGGCGAGGCCTGGTCTCTGGCCAGAGACAGAGGGGGGAACCAATACCTGCGGCACGTTGAAGGTACACAAACACACTCTTATTTCTTCCAGTCTTTGTCAATTGCAACCTCTCACTCACTTTCCTTCAGCTTAGTTCCTGGTTTATAGCACACCAACACAGTGGATGAACCACCAATTACTCTGGGATTTGTTTTATGTGGCACATGCCTTTCCAGCCGCAACCTTGCACTGAATGTACACTCACTCATAAACCCCTAGAGCTGGGAAACGCCCATACACTCACATTAAATACACTACGGGCAATTTATTTTATCCAATTTACCAAGACTTGAACCAGCAACCTTGATGTGAGGCGACAGTGCTAACCACTAAGCTACCATGCCACCTCCAATTGCAACCTATGTACAAAAAAAAAATAAGGAATAGCTCTTGTAGTGCAAAAAATGTTTAAATCTAAAATGTATATCAAGTAAATTTATTAAAATTACACATATATATGTGTGTGTATATATATATATATATATATATATATATATATATATATATATATATATATATATATATATATATATATATATATATTAGGGCTGTCAATTGATTAAAAAATTAACTAATTAATCACACTTTTTTTGTGATTTAATCATGATTATTCGCGAAAAGCCATATTTATTACAAAAATAAAAACACAGGCATGTAAGTGCCATAAAATATTGAATACAAACAATTGTACTCATTGGAAAGTTGTATTGCGAGTTGAGAACATTAATTTTAAAGCAGAAACAATTTTGCTTTTAGTCCAAAGACTATAGATTTCTTTCAGGGACTTTGGTCACACCATCTTTAAACATTTAGTTCCAAACAGCTTTGAGGAATACAGATACTGCAAAGCTTATAGAATAGATACAGAATGCTTTAAAAAGACTTTGGACATCGTCAGCAATGTCAGGCGTTTGCTCTTGTTGCTAGGAAATGCACACATACACACACACACAGACAACACTCGCAGTACAGAGCACCCGGTAAGCACCTCCCTTCAGATTCATCAACACGCACGATCGCGTTTATCAAATTTGCTTAAACTAAGCATTCTAAATATGGCTGTATTTTACAAGCAAGGATTCTGACACAGCAACGTGAAGCAGACGCGTTGCAAAAGTTGCATGTAGGGGGGAAGCACGTTAAACTTAATGAAGCATTTGAGGCCGCATGGAATCAACTCAAAGGCAGAGGAATGGGCTTTCATGCGACATCATCTGGCACTTTCACTGAGTATATTTACATGGACACTAATACTCTGATTTTATGATTGACATAATACTCTGATTAAGAGTCTACCATGTAAGTAGCGATTTTTTTGATTACCTTAATGGACCACCCGATTCACGAAATGCGAAGGTTTTTCTTTCTGTTCACATTGCGGTTTTAAATGTCAAGAACTGCAGTTAAAGTGTAAAGATCAAAAATGAAACGCCTGAACTTGCATGAAACTCTGAAGGAAACGCTGGATAACCTGTTTTTAACGCATTGAATATTTCAAATTAATCGCAGCTTATCCAGCTCATCTATACCACGTCTTTGGACTGTGGAGGAAACCCACGTGAACACGGGGAGAACATGCAAACTCCACACAGAAATGCCAACTGACCCAGCTAAGGGTCGAACCAGTGACCTTCTTGCTGTGAGGCGGTCGTGCTACCCACTGCGCCACCATGACCCCCTATATATGTTGTACATAGATTTAATATTAAGGGCGCTATCAAACACTGGGCACGATGTGGCACCAAATGCAACTCTATTGCTAATTTCAACTCTGCGCAGGTATAATTTTCATGTCATGCGGCACATTGTTCAAACAGTAAATGGATTTGCGCCCATTTTGGTGATTTTGTTGGCATGTTGCAGTTTTGAGGCAAGTGAAATAGACAGCGCAATTGATCATTGGAATCCAGCTTGTTTCTAGAGCATTTGATTGCATATGAGAAGATCAGTTTTTCAGCTTACAAAGACAAAGCCATTTAAGTTGAGAATTGTGTCATAGCGTGACATGAACTTGCTCTTAAAGGGAATGGGAGATGAGACTTTGATTGGTTTAATGCACGTTATGGCCAAAACATACTCTTAACTCATTAAGATTAAAGAGAAAACTCTTTTATACCATATGCCAGGTGCGCACTAACTGTTTTTTTTTTTCAGTTTTTCAAATAGCAAAAATGGATTCTGGCACACCCTAAGTGCATCGTGCGCTGTAGACCATGCACTTAAATTCTCAAAATAGAACCCCTAGTTGTAGTTCACTCAAAATTTAAAATTGTTTTAAACAAATTATTATTTACAGTATTTTGCAGTGCTAAGATATCAATAATGGTTGTTTATTATCCCGATGTATTGATTTATTGAATATCAGCATATGTCTACCCTAAAGTTGTTTAAATGATAAAAGAATTTTCATTTTTAATACTCAGTATCCTATCAAGAACACTTAAGCAACTTTCAAAGTCTTAGGGCTCTATCATACATCTGACGCAATATGGCGCAAGATGTGTTTGGTGTCATTTGTTGCTATTTTTAGACGAGCACAACCCTAATTTTCACATTTGCACTACGTTGTTTAAATAGCAAATCTATTTGTGCCATGTGTGTGCTGGTCTAAAAAGGAGGTGTGTTAAGGTGCATTATTGGCAAGTTGCTATTTTGAAGAACTGAAATAGACCATGCCATTGACCAACTAAAAGTTGGTCTAAAATCCAGCGCAGAGAACGTTAGTTATGCACCTATGCAGGTTCAAACACTTACACATTGCTTAATACACACAGGATGTAAAGCAATTCACAAATATCTTAAGATATGAAAAAGATTTAAATTATTAAAAGGTTAAAAATAAAAATATGTTCTACATAATTATAAAAACGTTACCTCCATGCCTTCTTCATGTCAGGTGGGCTTTTTTCAGTTTATTCATGACAATTAACATTTTTATTAAAATGTTATTATCATTAGTAGTAGTAGTAGTAGTATTTAATAGTATTTATTAAATGCATATTTATATTTGTTTTAATAAAAACAAGTTTAGATTTGTCCACCTGTCAGGTTTTGGAGACTTATGCATCACCACATGGGGCATAAGAATAGGACATGTGTTTGGATATAACTTTTGAGCACACTTCATTATTATTGTTCATTTATTCATTTGCTGGGAGTTAATACTAAATTTAGAAATAGTTTTGAATCAAATATTTGCACTTAACAAACTAAATTAAATATGTAGCTGAATTGATGTCTTCAGTGGAGTGCATACAACACTGTTTCCTTATCCTTGAAAGTAAAGGAGTAAAGAGTAATAGTAAAGTAAAGAGGCTGCATGGAGGAGGCTCGTTCTTTATCCTTATGCTGCCGATGGTCTGTTTATGTTTTTTCACTTGGGAGACATTCAGTTTTTCTACGTACAAAGTCCGCCATGTAAATAGCAAATGTGCCATGGCGTGACGTAACTGATTCTTAAAGTGGGAGATGAGAGATTGGTTTAATGCACGTCATGCTCAAAACTCTTTAAGAGAATGAGCACAACCCTGTTAGACCATGCGCCGAGGCGCAAACCATATTTTTCTTATCCTTAAAATAGCAAAAGTGGATTTGGACATGCTTTTGCGCCATGCTCTTTAGACTTTGCGTCTAGATTGTTAAAATAAAGCCCTAAATGGTATAATGCACAATATGCCCAAAACACACTCTCAGCTCATTGAGAGAATAACATTTTATATCATGAGCTAGACCACAGGTGTCAAACTCCGTTCCAAAAGGGCCGCAGCTCTGCACAGTTTAGTTCCAACCTAATTAAACACACCTGATCAAACTAATTGAGTCCTTCAGGCTTGTTTGAAACCTACAGGTAAGTGTGTTGGAGCAGAGTTGGAACTAAACTGTGCAGGGCTTCGGCCCTCCAGGAATTGAGTTTGACACCCCTGAGCTAGATCCTCACTGACCATTTTTCTATTAGTAAATAGCAAAAAGCTTTAGACCATGCACTTAGATTGCTAAAATAGAAGTTCAAATTGTAGTTTGACCAAAAATGAAAGTTTGTGCTTTAAACAAATAATTAGTCACTGGGTTTTGAAGCTCCAAGGTATCAATAACACAAAATGACCCTTTTGGGAAAAAAATGACAAAAAGGCATCCCCTTTGTAAAACCACCATCCCCCTTACCTCATCCTCTTTAGATAAACAACAGTATGTGTAATGTAAAATTTATCACGCAAATTAAATATTATAGTTCTCTTTTTATGGTAATTTATGACATATAAACAACAACAATTGTCTAATCAGAACTCAGTATTATAATAAAGCACCACGCACAAGCCCAATACGGTTCATTGCATCATTTCACATGATTTTCAAAATGTCTAAGAGATATATTTATGAGATACATATGTGTGTGTGTGTGTGTGTGTGTGTGTGTGTGTGTGTGTGTGTGTGTGTGTGTGTGTGTGTGTGTGTGTGTGTGTGTGTGTGTGTGTGTGTGTGTGTGTGTGTGTGTGTGTGTGTGTGTGTGTGTGTGTGTGTTTGTGTGTGTGTGTGTGTTTGTGTGTGTGTGTGTGTGTATATATATATATATATATATATATATATATATATATATATATATATATATATATATATATAAATATGAGCAATATCACACGAGTAGCAATGCGATATGGCTGTATATCGGCACTGGTGGGAGGCCACCACCAGTGCCGATATACAGCCATATCGCACTGCTACCAGTGTGATATTGCGTTTATACAACAGTTTGACGGCATAATTGTGTATATAAAAGCAAAATCGAACATGGACAGTTTCAAAAACCCTTTTGTATGTGGAACTACTTTTTTCCACATTGGATTCAAATCATAAGCTGACAGTTTAACATTTGAGCGTGCATCTTTTAAACTTTAGATCTGTAGTGTCTGCTTTTTGCTGGCTGTATGTGGGTGGAGTAACACACAAATGGTATATGTGTGTGTGTGTGTATATATATATATATATATATATATATATATTTATTTATATTTATTTATATTTATTTAAGAACAGTTTAGGCTACGTGACACAAGTCTAACTTGCCGTTCTATATTCACTGTAAAACAAAGAAGGGCTGGCTAACATTTACTTTAGCGTTCCAAGTTTCACCGTTAATATCTAAGTTACCTAAGATTGTAGGTTCCCTGTTTCTAAAAATGAACCGATATTATTATTCCTAAAATCAGAACGCAAATAATGTGATGCATTTTTCGAACCACTGTAGTCCAGATTTTACTCCATTTTTTCAAAAATGCTTCCAAATAGCTCAGCTGCTGTACATCTCCATCTCCATCTACCATGTTTTGTTTATGAATAAATCTTGAGCTTTGATATGAGAAAATACAGTAGGTACATTCGCCATGAGCACGGCTGCAACCGGTGATCAACAAGAAGTTGAAAACTGAGACGTCAAGCCGGACAGCCGGACCCTTCAGAGCTCAAAGTTGTGGCAATCATGATGACCAATCACATGGCTTCATCTTCATTCATCTTTTTTATGGATATTAACAAAAGATTTACAGTTAAATTAAAACAAAAAACAGTCTCTATAAACTAGTCCATTTTTAAACAAAAAACAAATAGGCCTCTAGGAGTTTAAACATCACTCTAGGCTAATACTTCTTGTTTGAATACACTAAAAAGGGTTTACATTTATTTACATTTATAGATATAAAACTTTCTAATATATATTAGTGTAAAAGCCAAAACGAGGTGTTTTAATTAAGTCTTAAACAATGATTAGGATTATTTTGAATAATGAAAGCATTTGTGTTTTTAATGAAATGCATTTTCAAAAAAGCACTTATTCCTGAAATAAGTGAGCTACACTTTAGAGCAGGAGTGTCAAACTCAATTCCTGGAGGGCCGAAGCCCTGCACAGTTTAGTTCCAACTCTGCTCCAACACACTTACCTGAAGGTTTCAAACAAGCCTGAAGGACTTAATTAGTTTGATCAGGTGTGTTTAATTAGGTTGGAACTAAACTGTGCAGAGCTGCGGCCCTTTTGGAACTGAGTTTGACACCTGTGCTTTAGAGGTTTCCCAGAAAGAGCAGGTACATCAGTGTCACGTTTAACATTTCTGCATAAACGGCTTGACGGGAAAAATATTTTATAATCATAAAAATCTTTTTTTTAATTATTTAAGAAGATATATTTTTTTTACTTGAATTGTTAAGAAACCTTTATATGGGTGTCAGGATCAATGATAATAATTATTTTATTACAAGTCTGTAAGACTTATTTGAGTTAATATTTAGGTAATTCACTAAAATAAATCATTTATGGAGCTGAATGCAGTAAATAATCAGTAGAAAAAGGGTCTAAAAAAACCTATGCAAACAATCTAGCCTTTCTAAACAAATTATTTAACAAAAGATGATTACTGCTGTACAATATTTGTAGTCTTTTAATAAGCATGATGTGTACAAGATAGAGAGGATATAAAAAGTTATTTGTTTGTTTTAAAATTTGTAAATCAGAATTTGCCCAATAATAAACGCGAAACACACGTGGTTGCTGTCATGCACTGAGTCTAGCCAATCATGTAATATCGGTGTCATCATCGCAGCTCCTGTAGTCACTCTTTAGATTCTGCTCCGGCTGAATCAATCGTCTGATCTTGGAGCGCTGTCGCAGTACTTTGATGCCACATGTGATAGTCACATGGATTCCACGCAGTGTCAATCTGGACAAAGTTTCTAACCGGTATGCACGGCTTTAAGACATATTTTGATCGATCTGCGCTGCATGAAATCAAACACACCTAATGCTTCAGTCGTCCATTCAGAAAGACATTTGAGAAAGAATCAGCTGTTCAAACCACTGAATTGAATGAATGACTCAGTGACAAAGGTAGTTGTAGTTTCAAATCTCATGGCATTTTAATTATTGATTTCATTGCATTCATGCCACCTCCTACGCTTTATTAAACATTCAATTTACAATTAAACAGTGAATTTATCTAAATGCTAACTTTTAGATGTGTTTTTTCTTGGACATCTTTGTTGTGTCAAGAGTAATGTAGTTGATTTAATCTGATTGTAAGATATTCTTCCTGATATTATTTCAGTTTATTTTAAAAAGCTCATGCAGTTGGACCACATAAGGTAAACAAAGTGTTGTAAATAAAAAGATAAATTTATATTTAATCAATCAAACAGTTGCTGGTAGTCAAAGTCTTACATTTTCAATTAATTAATTGTCCCTTTTAATTACTTGATTTTCTTAATAAATAAAATAACATGTTTAGGATTGTTAATGGTTATTTTAAAAAGCATTTTCTCAAATTAAGAATATGTTTAGAACTATTTTGTTATCATTGTGTGTGTGTATCTACAGAACAACACACAGCCAAATACCCCCCTCCTGGAAAATGCCTCTTAAAATTTTTTACAATTCGACCATTGCTTAGTCCATAGTATACAAACATAATATGGAAGCCAACGGCTGCTTTTTCCAACATATTTTTGAGTTAAGCAGAGGAAAAAAGTTCAAACTGGTTTGTTAGGATAAGCAAATGATGACAATTTATATGTTTAGATGGTGAACTATTCCGTGAAGCAGTTCAGACAGTGGGCGAGAAGTGTAGCAGAACGTTTAGCTTACAGTAGCTTAGCATAGATCAATGAGTTAGATAGTTTTGCCACACCATAGCTGCAACAGCCGCAATGATATTATGCGTAGTCTTTTATTTTGTTTATATTTTAACAACTTTGTGTCCTTGATAATAATGAATGTTTTTTATTTGTCTCTGTAACACAGAGCAAGCTGTTTTGGAGCACGGAGCACAGACGCCTCCTCCCAGCCCATTCTCTGTTCAGGCGTTTAACAGAGGCATGGCCAGCTCAGGAGCTCAAGGCTTTGACTACGGCATCTCCAACAACAAAGGTGAGAGATGGAAATAAAATGTGATTTATTACTGAGTGACAGTTACATCTCTAATTATATGATTACAGCCCTTTTACCAGTTTACCAACATTTTTTCATATCATGCTCCAGCTTAATATCTGTCATAGTTAATCATATAAATATGTCTTGGGAATGCATTTAACGTTACAAAATTGATTCCAGTCAAAGACTCAAAATCATTTAGGATTTTATTTTAATGTTCATGATTTTATAACTCTGATTAATTAAGTTTTTTTATATTTAAAATTGTCCTATTATTTATTCAATTAAAAATGTGGTACCTAATTATTTGTATTTTTTTCTTTCTTTTTCTTTTTTTTTTTGTAAAGTTTCTAATGCTCAAAGTAGGCTAAATCAATAAAATATTTTATCTTTTAGAAATCTAAAATATTTTATTTAGTTTAGAAAAAATATATACATTTTAATGTATTTTAAAATGTCATTTGATTCTTCTGAAATCATTAATTTTGAGCTCATATGTTATTATTTTCTGTATAACTAACTTTACTTGACTTGTTGACCATACCAGTGTTAAAATAGTTGCTGCCTTATTATTTTTGATGGAATCCAGACTTTTTTTTTTAACAGAGATACAATTAACATTAAAACTGTGTATGTTGTTTGTAAATGGATGTAAAATTTCAAATCACTGTCTCCTACATTTTTGCATATTAATAAAGGAATTATCCTTATACTTTTAAAAAAAAAATTCATTTGTTAGAAGTAAAAATTGAATCATCTGGTAATTGCTAACAACAGGGGTCCGTTCTTCATACCTCACTTAAATAGTCAGATCCTGAATATTTTAATTTAGATAACTGATCTTTGGTTGATTTGTTCAAATAAATTTGTGAATCCTATTTAAAAATCTGAATAATTTGATCTTAGATTGCTGCATGTGTTTGTTGTGAAGGACAGTATATCGATCCTTGAAATTATTATTAGCAATGCATAGATGACATCCTCTGATTAATATTGACTTATCCATGTAAACAAAATTTATAGTAAATGAAACAGTTTGTTAAATATGATATGCAAGAACATTCCACATTTGTTGTGGGCTTTTTGGACAGGCTATCCACTTTGTTACCACTTTTCTAAAGAATTTAGCAATTTAGTTTTACCTTTAAAGCTTTTTTTGAGGAGGGGGATAGCATTAAAGTTTCTTAATCTTGTGGCATAAGGAATGTGCTATAGTAAAATAAACAAATGACTCAATACTTTAGTTTTAGAACTGTAGTGTATGTTATACCATAATCCACCACAGTTTACTTTACTAAAACTAAAATATACAACAGTATTTATTATCATTTATCAGTTCACTATGTTTATTACTACAGCTTGCTGTATCATTAATTAAAATGTGTCATAAATACTATAGTATATACAGTGCATCCGGAAAGTATTCATATCGCTTTACTTTTTCCACATTTTTATGTTACAGCCTAATACCAAAATGGATTAAATTCATTTATTTCCTCAACATTCTACACACAATATCTCATAATAGCAATGTCAAAATATTTTTTTGAAATTGTTGCAAACCTGAAAAGCGCATGTATATAAGTATTCACAGCCTTTGCTCAATACTTTGTTGATGCAACTTTTGAAGCAATTACAGCCTCAAGTCTTGTTAAATATGATGCCACAAGCTTGGCACACCTGTCTTTGGGAATTTTGGCTCATTCTACTTTGCAGTACCTCTCAAGCTCAGTCAGGTTGTATGGGAAGTGACAGTGTACAGCCATTTGCAGATCTCTCCAGAGATGTTCAATAGGATTTAGGTCTGGGCTCTGGCTGGGCCACTCAAAGACATTCAACGAGTTGTTGTGAAGCCACTCCATTGATATTTTGGCGGTGTGCTTTGGGTCATTGTCCTGCCAGAACTGTCAACCAGTCTGAGGTCAAGGACACTCTGAAGCAGGTTTGCATTCAGGATGTCTCTGTACATTGCTGCATTTTTCTTTCCCTCTATTCTGACAAGTCTTCCAGTTCCTGCTGCTAAAACACATCCACACAGAATAGTTTTGAGAAAATAAATTATTTTAATCCATTTTGGAATATGTGTAAAAAGTGAAGGGCTATGAATACTTTCCGAATGCACTGTACGGTAGAATACAGTTTACTACTGTATGGCTCAAACACACTGTCATATTTACTATAAATTACAAGGTTTTTTTTATGTCTGTGCAACATAAAAATATATATTAACCCCTAAAGTGTACGTTTGAGTCATTAAAAGTACAAAATTGCTCACAATATTGTTATTATTAACAGATATAACTTCACTTGAAATGACACAATCTAATAATGCTTATATGAAATAAGCCTGCTCCCTTACAAGTTTGAGCCAGCAGACCTGTTGCTATGACAAAACAACACCTGGAAGAATTTTAAAATACGAAAGTGTCCTGGACTTGTGTCAAAAAGTCAATAATTAAATGCAGTTAATTGTGTAATCTGCATATGTGGAACAGACCCCTGGTGGAGTTATCCCGTAGCATCTGTGTTTGCAGGACATCAGAGCTTTTTTCTTTTTTAAAGTGATTTATGACCTATTGTTCTTTGAGCTATCATGTTCTAATATTATAGAATAATAAATGGAAAATGCACCAAATTATGAGTCATCAAACAGTATCATTTATCTTATTTCAGCTGTGTGGAATCTGAGTAATTGTGTTCTGCATGCTGTGATGTGTGTGCGTCTTGGCTGTTGTCTGTGGCGTGTGAAGGCATCATTGTGTGCATGGGCAAGACTCTGTGTGCTGCAGCTGGGTCTTACCCATTTATTGTCCACTGGCTCTCACCATACTGTTCTCATGCACCGCTGCTAAGTGGCGTTTACCCATAGACTGCTGTCTGATGGGTCCTTCATCACCTCTTATACTCTTAATACTGAATAAAAAGACACCTGGCAAATCCACAGTGCTTAACTAATTGCTTCTTGACTAAAGGTCAACATGAAATTAATATTAACATTTATTAATTCCATTAATACGCATTTCTATTTTAAATGCAAATAATTTAACATCACTCTAAGTAGTACATTTTCCACATCACATAACTCTATTTTTCTAGAGAGGCTTTCCTTTATCGTGCTGATCTAGGATGACCTGGTTATATTTATATATTTACATGAATTTAAAAGTGCAATCTTTTTTTTGTTAGCTGGTTGAAAATTTCTTCACTTTCGAATAGCAATCACTAAATTAAGTGTTTCAATATTCTGTTTTAATATTCTGTTGAAGATGTAGGATCAAGAAAAGTATTAAGTAGGTTCCAAATAGGCTGTTCTACCCATCCAAGTACAGTGGTCCCTCGTTATTCGCAGGAGTTCTAAAAATAACCTGCAAAAGGGAAATCTGCGAAGTAGTCAGTTTAGTTTTTACAATTATTATAGATGTTTTAAGGCTGTAAAACCCCTCACTACACACTTTATACACTTTTCTGTGACAGGCATTAACAATTTCACATGTTTCTTGTTTAAACTCTCAAAGCTAAAACTTTTGTATAAAATTAAGTCCAGTATTAAGGTTGATTTATACTTCTGTGTCTAGCGCATGCGTATGCTCCAACACAGTCGAATATTCTTCGCCTTGGCTAACGATGACACTAACGCGCACCTCTCAAAAATGTAACTACATGTCGCAACGATGCGTAGTGTAAGCTCTGTGTCCCCTGATTCACACCGGGCTTCAGCGTCAACGCTTGACAGAGGGTGTGTCTGAAGTTTGGATCATCATAGCAGCGTCAGCCAATGAAATTGATCCTCAATTGACAACTGTCTGAACTGGTGTATTTGCATAAAGCGATCTGATTGGCTGACGTGTCTGTTGGCGCTTGAAAATTTGAGAAATTTGCAACTTCAGCAGCGAGCAATGCCCCTTGAAGCATCGCCAACGGACCCACAATGCAGTTCAGTAACGCCTGACGTCACCCATTCGAAGTTATGTTGTTGCACATCCGCTTGTTCCCGTCTCTGGATCAGCGAGTTTTAGCTACTTGTACATTAAGGTAGCATTCAGAAAAAAAAAAAAAAACATCTGCAAAATAAATCGACACAGTGGAACAAAAAAACCTATTGCCAACTGATGTTTCAGAAGTGTTATTGCAAAGCAACACAAACAGCACGCAAAAAATTAATGCACGACTACACGCAAGGCATGCACCGTTGGTCGCGCCGATCATATAAACCACGCAGAAGTATAAACCAGTCTTTATCGAATAAAACCAAAGATCAAAGCCAAAATTTCAGGTGCAAACGTTCATCGCTGTTAGCAAAAGGTTCATAAAGCTTGTTAGCTTTTGTACTGATAATGTTGGCATCCAGTGTAATGTTCTCTTTTTCCTGCAGTCACTGATCGACAAAACTAAAGCAGACTCCATTCTGAGTCATAGCTGGGCACCACAGACAAAAGCCATCTTGCGGCTTTGCGTACCCTGATATAAACCTACGTTTACAGTTCAAAAATGGATGGCGCGTCATGGCATGGAGCATACGGTGTGCGACCCCCCTCTTTACGATGGTCTTGCTAGGGACAGTTACAACACTTTGCATCCTTGTTAGAATTCACACTTCTAGTGATCAAAGATTTATGTTGTTTGGCAAGCTGAACGCATTCTGTACTAAACAGGAGACATGGAGGAGATTAATTGAAAATGGTCTTCAGCAGGGATCACCAAACTTGTTCCTGGAGGTCCAGTGTCCTGCAGATTTTAGCTCCAACCCTAATCAAACAAACCTGAACAAGCTAATCAAGGTCTTACAGGCAGGTATGTTGAGGCAAGTTCAGACCAATCAGGAACACAATGCACTTCTAAAAAAAAAAAAAAATAAATAAATAAAAAAAGCATATCAAATTGCACCCAAAAAAATCTGTGAAATTGCTAGGTCACGATGGGTGAACTGTGTTATACCGAGGGACCACTGTATATAATGGCCTAGTTCTGCGCAACTAGTTCTCGTAAAAAGGATAATCATCGGCGCATTCACAGATGAAGTTCAGACTTATGATTAATTAAGCTTACAACTTTTTAAAAACGTTTTGTACTGTAATTACTAACTGCACTATAAAGTGTTCCCTCTGGTGAATGTTACAAGATGTATTGTAGTGATGTTGTTTAGTACGCATTCATGAGCTCAGGAGGCGTGGCTTTGGATGGTAATTTGCAAGGTGGAACTGTCAGGCTAAAATTAGCATTTTCCATGATCTCCTGTTGCACCTTTAAAAAGTTACATTAAAAGGTAGAAAAGGACGAATTATTTTAAAACGCCTTCTTTAGGATGGATTGATTTTTTTTTTTAAAGGGTAATTAACAGTCAAAGTGTTTTAATTCAATGTAAACTTACTTCAAAATCGTGTCCCTTTCATGTTAAAATTCTCACTTTTCACAATTCAGTCAGATGCTAATAAGGTAAATTAACAATCTAAATTTTAAAAATGTCATGTTGACTTTACCAGCTTCCCAAAATTTTTTAGATATTAGTAGGGCTGGGTGATATGAAATCGCAAACTTGATTGATCATACCTGCGATACTCATGCACATCTTGTAAGGGAAGCACGGTTGTGTGTCTATGAAAAAATCTCTCCCGAAAGCCAGAGGGCGCTCTTGTGCATAAACTCCAAATCTGAAAAAAACACAGGAAATCCTCGTAGATATTTACATTAGATCTACCTACCCTGGGTTTGTCTGTTGGAAGGAATGCGTCAGTAGAGCTGTCATTTTAGTACAGGGTGGCACTCCATTGAAATGAATGCAGGATCAAGCTGCATTGGAGGACTGGCCACCCAGAGCCAAAGATATATATACACACATATATACATATATCTATGATTGGGAGTTTTCCCGGTGGTCAGTTTGCTAATTTTTTTTTTAATTACGAAAATTATAATTTTACATAACTTTTCTACATCAATGGATCAGTGACCACACAGGCATTGCCGACGAAGAGCAAGTGTGTGAGCATGGAAATGTATTAACCTCTATCCCTGTTAAATTTGATCTCATTCATGTCCTGAAAAACACTCCCTCTCCTGCTTTCACTTCTTATTCTAACGTTCTATTCGTTTGTGAAAAAATCTCCGTTATGAACGACACGTTCACTTCGCCAACAGTTATACATGTTTCTTGTACTGCAGCATCTTGTTGCAAGTTGGTGCTACTTTGCCTTCTGGTCAGTGCAGTAAGTGACTGTATTATCATCAATAACTTGATGAGCACAAAAGTTTGTAACGTACAAAAACATAAAAAACTAAATCTTACCTATGAAACGTTCTGCTTTTGTGCTTTGTTTCCTTTTTTTGTTTGTTTGTTTCTACACCCGTACACCGCGCTAAAGTCCAGCATCTCCACATTGGCTTTGGTCCTAGACTAGTGCGGTGGAATGACATTTGTGCTGGGAGCACTGTATAAATATGGCGGCGCTATTGATGCATGCTCAGAGTCCTTATGCGATGTCTAGTTTATATATCTATGGGAAATCCTTAGCATTGCAGTGGAAACAAAAGATTTAACTGCTTTTATTGGTTCAGCATGACTATTATTAACATGAATCATCTCACAGATAGATTTATTTTGAACACTCAACGGAAGTTATGAAATGAGTTGGGAGTAAAAACATGTTATTAAATGTGCTATTTTCAGTGCAGCATACACAGCTGTAGTTTACTGATAATCTGTCATTATCACAAAACAATTTTCCTGATTTCATTGTAGTCCAATTAAACCGATTTCTGATTTAAAAGTGATTTTGTATGGCTTTGTCAGCGTACTATGTGTTGTAAACATTACTCCATTTGAAAGCACTTGCTGGAGGTATACTAGAACCAGCTTTACTGACAAAATGCGCATGAAAATCACCTTTGATTAATCACCCAGCCTTATTTCTTAGTTTTGAACATGTTTGTGACCATTTAACTTGCTAGATTACTATTAGAATAATAAATAAATAAAACTTTTCTATGAATTATAAAAGGGATGAAAGCGTAGCATTGGCTTCATCTTCCAATGCTTTATCTGTGACCTTGTAGATGCGTCAGATATGAGGTTTCAGGAAGACCTGACCTATGGCTCGCCCTGCCCATTCCTTATTCCCCTCACGTTGGCTCAGCTGACCCACTCACACACCCCATTACTTCCAGTGAGCGTGCTTGTGTGGGGCGTTAAACTGACTAGCGTTTTTGTATGGCTCCTTCTAAGGATCATATAAGCTACAGCACTCCCATTGTCTTCCGCATTGCAGGTGACCGGCTGAGTGCCATACTGAATTCCATTCAGTCTGGGCCTTTCCTCCCAAGTCCTTCCATTTTTGAGCAAGCTGCCAAACCTCCCACTTCCCTTGTCCACAGCCCATTTGTGTTTGGACAATCCCTTTCCCAGCAGCCTCAACCGCATCCACAGCTTCCGAGTAAGTCTGTCCGTCTATAAAGTAGTGGCGGTGCTTGCTTGCAAAGTTGCTGCTTGTTCTTGTGTTAAGGGCTTATTTATTAATGTCCCTTAGATTGTATTGAGTTCCATTCAAGCTCATGTCCCCTGCTTTTCTTTTGCCGTCCATCTGCTTGCTTGCCATTTCTGGATCGATTCCTTTCTTTCTCATCTCATTTTAACTTCAGTGGCTGAATAACATTTAAGTTCCTCTTCCACTGTAGCTACTAACTGTGTGTGTTTCTTGTCAGATGTTTTGGTTGACTTATTTATTTTGGCTTGCTTTATGTACAGTGCTTAATTTGATCAATTATTGGCAAAACAATTACCAAGAGGTCCAGGAATCTGTCCACGCAGTCAAAACGAATAACTGCTTTTGAATTGTAACCCCAAGTGCAATTCAACATACGCCAATGTCTGCATAGGATAAATGAGATTGGGTTTTTCGTTTTTAGGGGTATGTACAAGTGTCTCAATATTTTCCACAGCCAGAATACTCTTAAATCTGCATTTCAGATTCATTACAATTCCTCACTGAACCATTTTATTCGGACTATTTTCTCACCCATCCTGCACTGGTTGATGCCCTGTTTTTAGTCTTGTGCCTGCCAGTCTCTGTCTCTCTCATGGTGTCTGTCCTTCCTGTTGCTCTTTCTTTATTCATATCTTTTCCAGACTAGATGCTCCTCTGGCCTTATTAACATTTATCAATTTAAATATAAATTTGATAGGTTTTTAAGACTTTATTCATTCACCTCAAGGCTTTAGTTAGGGACCAGTTTGGAATGGGTTTATTAATGGGCTTAAAAATAAATAAAACTGTATCACAAAAAATTGCACAAAAAACATTTTTTTTTAGATAGAAAAGCTGTAGAACACCTATGGTGCTTGAATAGAAGCAATTTATTTCACTCCCAAGGCCTTCACTCTAAGGATCAGGGGTCAAAGCCAGTTCCTGGAGGGCCGCAGCCCCTACAATTTAGTTCCAACCCTGCTTCAACACACTTACCTGTAGGTTTCTAACAAGCCTAAAGCACTCAATTAGTTTGATCAGGTGGGTTTAATTAGGGATTGAACTAAACTGTGCAGTGCTCCGGCCCTCCAGGAACAGGATTCGACACCTGTACTCTAAGGCTTTATTTCACTCTACAAAATAAAGGTATGAGAGCTGGGGCAGTACCTTTTCAAAAGGTAAGGATTTGTACCTAAAGGGTATATACTGTATCAGCACCTCATTTTTTTATTAATATGTACTCTTGAGGTATCAGTATGGAACATATATGCATTTTTTTTTTAAAGTACTGCCCCAGTGACAGTTTATGTACCTTTATTTCTGAGAATGTGAACAGAGCACATGGCATAGTAAGCTATACATTTGGTCCTACAATCTTGAACCCTCTACTTCTGATTAGATTATCCAAGATAGTTGCAAAATTCAGGTGTAAATGGGGTCAATGGGGTTTTCTGATCTAGTACTCTTTCTTTCACTCTTCATCATTCATTAGCTTCCACTTTCTCTCTCATTTTCTGATTGTTTTCCTTGGTTCAAGCCTTGTTGCTCACTTTCCTTGCCACTGTTTTCCGCTGTAGATGCTTCATCACGCAGCCTTGCTTCACGTGAGCGTGTGCACAAAAGCAGTGCGACCGGCCCTGGCACCGCTCTGTCATCTCTTGTTCTCAGACAAAAGGGTGGGTAATGCATGTCTTCTCCTGGGAGCACCCTGGAGATTCACTACAGGGATGGGTTTCATGTCATCCTCTCTTCCATAGTCCATTTAGTTCTGCTGTTAGGCATGGCAACAGAGTATGTAGTGCTTTGGAATATATGTGGGGACAGTTTTTCAGGCTTGAAAAAACATTTCCCATGACCTGGGTGCTTTCCATTTGCATCATGCTACCTTCAAATCTTATACTTTATTCTTATGTAAAGAAAAGTTGTTCAGTAAATAAAAATTTAAGATCTTTCTTGGATGTCAGTGGAGTCTTTATGTTTTTTTCATCTACCATTTTACATTTTGTTCCTTACGTTACTGTTGTGTTTTCCCCTTACATTTTCAGGTGCCATGTTTATTTTATTGTCTTTTTATACACATGTAAATGAGGCCTTACAGGCCTTTGTGAGGGTGCCCTTTGTATTAATGCTTTGCAAATTGGTAACTCTTGATGTGTTACAATACGCAGGTGACAGAGATAACATGGCCAGTTGGTCTGTGTCTCCAGGCAGCAAACATCGTCAAGAGAGCCGATCCTCCAAAACCGACAGCCACTCAAACCGATCTGTTGACCAGGTGAAGAGCAAGAACAACGAGAGTCTGTCTGCCAGCGAAGCCCTCATTCTGAAATCAGATACAGGCAAATTGCGGTCTGACTCTCACAGCCGCTCCCATTCTCCTAACCACAACACTCTTCAAGCCCTGAAAGCTGATGGCAGAACCTCAGGACTTAGGGCTGAGTCTCCAAACCCTGGCTCCCGATCCTCCTCACCAAAACAAAAGACCTTCACTTCAGGGAGATCTAGCCCTTCTAGCACCAGTTCCCCACGCTCATCATCTCCTCATGATAAGAACCTGCCCGCCAAAGTTAGTCCCTCTAAAGTTCACCTGGATCCACCACGCGAGAGATCCAAATCGGACTCTTATACACTAGATCCTGACACTCTTAGAAAGAAGAAGGTCCCTCTTATGGAACCTCTAAGGGGCAGGTCTACATCCCCAAAGCCAAAACTCCCACCCAAAGAGAGCAAAGGAGGTAGCAGCAATGCAGAAAACCGAGCCCCTTCTCCCCATGTAGTTCAGGAAAATCTCCACAGTGAAGTAGTGGAGGTATGTCGGTCTAGCGCCTTGCTATCCAACGATGAAGGCAATGATGAGAATTCAGAGTTGCACAATGCTGAAGAAGGCTCCTCCAAGGTCCATTTTAGCATTGGAAAAGCACCAGTCAAGGAAGAACTTGAAAGTCGCTCTTCACCCAAAGTCAGCCGTAAAACCTCTAGCAGGCATGTAAGACCCAAAAAAGACAAATCAGGGCCACTCTTTAAGGGGGAAAATGTGCGTCCCACTGAACCTGCCAAGCAAGCCATGTCACCTTCTGTCGCTGAATGTGCCCGTGCTGTTTTTGCTGCCTTTCTGTGGCATGAGGGTATTGTACATGATGCCATGGCATGCTCTTCTTTCCTCAAGTTCAACCCTGAGCTGACCAAAGAACATGCACCTATCCGTAATTCCCTCAGCTGCCAACAAGGTTTTGATGAAAAAGAGAGCAAACTGAAGAACCGGCACTCTCTGGAGATCTCCTCAGCCCTCAACATGTTTAACATATCACCACATGGCCCAGACATTTCCAAGATGGGTAGCATAAACAAGAACAAGGTCCTTTCCATGCTAAAAGAGCCACCCTTGCCTGAGAAGTGTGAGGATGGAAAGGAATCTGTCTCTTATGAGATGACCAGTCACTCCTCCATGAGGTCAAAATCCATTTTGCCTCTTACTCTCCAGCACTTAGTAGCCTTCTGGGAGGACATATCAATGGCTACCATAAAAGCGGCAACACAGAACATGATCTTCCCAAGTCCAGGATCCAGTGCTATCCTTAAAAAGAAGGAGAATGAAAAGGACAGCAAAAAGACAAAGAAAGAGAAGAAGAAAAAGGAGAAAGCTGAGGTACGCCCTAGGGGAAACCTCTTTGGGGAGATGGCGCAGTTAGCTATGGGAGGTCCAGAAAAGGATACCATCTGTGAGCTCTGTGGAGAGTCTCATCCATACCCTGTTACATACCACATGCGGCAGGCCCACCCAGGTACAGTGCCAGATTGGGTATTACTTTATTCTTTACTGTTCAGATGTTCCAAAACGTATACAGACAATTTAAGGAGATTATTCATTAGTATTCTTTACTTTGTCCTTTCAGGATGTGGTAGGTATGCTGGAGGTCAAGGCTATAACAGTATTGGTCACTTCTGTGGAGGCTGGGCTGGAAACTGTGGTGATGGTGGGATTGGTGGAAGCACCTGGTACTTGGTGTGTGATCGTTGCCGAGAGAAGTATCTGAGAGAAAAACAAACAGCTGCTAGAGAAAAGGTATAACTGTCATGGTCATTGTATAGAACTCCATAATATGTGTAGATATTGCATGCCTAATAATTGTTTCTTGGGTTTTTGAATAAGGTTAAGCAGTCGAGGAAGAAACCTCTCCAGGTGAAAACGCCACGAGCTCTGCCTACAATGGAGGCCCACCAAGTGATCCGTGCGAATGCACTTTTCCTTCTTTCTCTAAGCAGTGCTGCTGAACCTAGCCTGCTTTGCCATCACCCACCCAAACCTTTCCACAGTCATCTGCCAAGCCTCAAGGAGGGAGTGTCTGAGGAACTACCCAACAAGATGGGCTGCCTCTATTTGCAAACCCTAGCCCGGTAAATATCTTTTTTTAATGGCAGCTTTGTTGTAGAAATTTTATGTAATATATTGAGTAATTCTCAATGTGCTTTTTGCAGCCAACACACAGAGAACTTTGGAGTCTATCAAGATGACAACCTTTTTCAGGATGAGATGCGTTACCTGCGGTCTACTTCAGTTCCTGCTCCTTATATCTCAGTCACTCCAGATGCCTGCCCCAATGTTTTTGAAGAGCCAGGAAGTAACATGAAGTCCATGCCACCAAGGTACTATGACAACCTACCTGCTCTAGTAATCAAGTTTCCAGTGAGAGCTTACTGTCTGGCTACTCTTGTTGTCTTTAAACATTATTTGACTTTGTTTACTTTAGTTTGGAGACAAGTCCAATCACAGACAGTGACACAGCCAAGCGAACAGTATTCCAGCGCTCATATTCAGTAGTGGCCTCTGAGTATGATAAGCAACACTCAGCCTCTCCAGCAAGGGTTAAAGCAGTGCCAAGACGAAGAGTTCACAGTGGAGATGCAGGTATTGTGTTGTTGTACAGTACAATTGCAAATGTAATAATTGCTTTCACTAATTAGCAAAACAACATTGCCTGTATTCTGATGCTCCGTTCACACCAGACGCAGATGAAGTGTCAAGGGGGAGAGATTTACATGTTAAGTCAATGCAAAGACACAAATAGACATCCTGCGCAGCGATACACACGAATAAGGCTGTGCAAATTATTTGATTCGCGCGAATGAAGCGGCGCAAGTTGAGCTTTTTGCGCATTTGACTCAC